TCTGTGACCTCCCACTTACTCAGGTCAGCTGTTTCTATGGGTTTCCCCAGTATAGTTATGACCCCTTTGCTCATCACTCCTCCCTCTCTACAACTGGACTCCGGGAGTTCAGCTCAGTGCTTAGCTGTGAATCTTTGCTTCTGCCTCCAAAAACTACTGGGTAAAGACTTTGGGATGGCATTTAAGGTAGCCTCTCCACTATTGCTTACTTAGTTGGGGTCGTCCTTGTGGGTCTCTGAACATTTCCCTGGTGCCAGATTTCCCTTTAAACCTATAATAACTCCCTCTATTAAGGTATCATTTTCCTTGCTCTCCCCAACTCGATATTCTTCCCCCAACTCGATCTTCCTGGTCCCTCATGTTCTGGGGGGGTGGGGAAGGCATGTATGTCTCTCTTAGGGTCCTCCTTATTTCTTAGGGCAGCTTCCTTCCTATACAGCCTTGAGCTACCTTCCCAAGGGTAGCAACATCCACAGTGAGCTGATTCCTCCATAAATAACCAATCATGAAAACAGCCTATAGGCATCCCTATAGGCCAACACAATGGAGGCAATTTTTTCTTGGAGTTTTCTTTCTTCCCCAACGCCGGTAGTTTCTGCCATGTTGACAAACATCAATCAGTGTTAGTGTCTAACAAAGAATAACCTTTCCTTTCTTGTTTGTCCCCAAGATATTATGTTAATGACTTAATATAAACTACAACTGTAAATGTCCCATACTCTTTAGAGAACTCACAACTAAAAAGTCAGGCGTCTCTTTAAAAATCAAGTCTCTCGGCTGTGAATGCCACTAAAATTAAACCAAACAAGCATGAAAAACGTGGTTCCTAGGGTTTCTACTGCTGTGAAGAGACATCATGACCGTCGCAACTTTTATGAAGGTAAAACCTTTCATTGGGGTGGCTTACATCTTCAGAAGTTTAGTCCATTACTACCATGGTGAGACATGGTGTACAGGCAGACACGGTGCTGGAGAAGTAGCCAAGTGTCCTGCATCTTGGTTTGCAGGCAACAAGAAGTGGTCTGTATCACTGGGTGACCTCAAAGCCCACCTCCACAGTGACATACTTCCTCCAACAAGGTCACTCCTACTAAACAAGGACATACCTCCTAATAGTGCTACTCCCTTTGAGGACCATTTTCTTTCCTTTTTTGGTTTCTCAAGACAGGGTTTTTCTGTAGCTTTGGAGCCTGTCCTGGAACTTGCTCTGTAGGCTAGGCTGGTCTCACATTCACAGAAATCCACCTGCCTCTGCCTCCCAAGTGCTGGGATTAAAAATTTGTCCCACCACTGGCCAGGCTTGGGGACCATTTTCTTTCAAACCACATTCTACTCCCTGAGCCCCAAAGGCTTGCAGCCATATCATAATGCAAAAATGCGTTCAGTCCAACTTCATAAGTCCCCATAGTCTATAACACTCTCAAATTTATTTAAAAATCTTGAGTTCAAAGTATTTTCTGAGATTCATGCAATCTTTTAACTGTAATCCACTGTAAAATTAAAATTAAAAAAATCACATACTTCCAACATAAAATAGCACAGGATATACATTACCATTCCAAAACTCAGGGAAGAAAGCATAGCAAGGAAATACTGAACCAAATCAAGACCAAAAATCAGCTGGGCAGACTCCAAACACTGCATCACCATGTCTGACATCAAAACTCTCTTCAGATCTCCAACTCCTTTCAGCCTTGTTGACTGCAACACACTTATTTCTCTTGGGCTGGCTCCACTCCCTGTTAGCAGCTCTCCTCAGCATCCCTCAGCTCAGGTATCTCTAACCTCTTGGGGTCCCTAAAGCAATATCCAGGCTTCTCCTTACCAGTTTCAACCAACAGCCTCTCTAGATCTCCATTCAGGGATATCCCTGACACAGGCCTGGCCTCAGCAGCCTTTCCTGAGTCTTGGAGGAAGGTTCCATAATGTCTTTCTTCTTTCCTTGAAGCAAGGGCCATGTAGCTAAAGCTGCCAAGTTCTGCTGCTTGCACGAGCAGGAACATGGCTCCCTTATTCAATTACATCTTCACCAGCTTTCTGGTTTTGATAGTTTCCTTCACTGCCTAAGCTTGGCTATTCTGGAACTTGCTCTGTAGACCAGGCTGACCTCAAACTTAGAGACCTGTCAGCCTCTGCCTCCCGAGTGCTGGGATTATGGGCATGAACCACAACTCCTGGCTATAAGCTTTTCTTTAAATTCCTTTTTACAAGTTGGAAACTTAGCTGGGTGGGATCTTGCCCTAGGACACTGCTACCTTTATTCCATTTCTTAATCTGTTTATCTCCTTAAATACAGGACTTAGCTCCATGCCTTTTCTCCTCAGATTTCATTTTCTTGCCCCTGTTCATTATATATCTTTGTTAGAGTTACCACTAATATCCACACAACAGAGTCTATACTAGGCTGTTTTGAGATTTTTTTTCTCTGCCAATGGAATTATTCCAAATCTCTTCACGTTAACCTCAGGTAGACTCTCTGGAGAAGGGCAAAAAGCAGCCACGGTCTTCACCAAAATAACACAAGAATGATCTCTAGGCAACATATTAAAATTCTGCTCTGAAACCTTTTGAGGCAGCCCTATACCCCAGTTTAAATCACTACTCGTGTCTTCCATGCTCTTACTAGGATGCCCTATTAAGCAGCACTTAAAGCTTTCAACTGCTTGTGTAATCCACAGTCCCAAGGTGCATATTCCTTCAAAGATATGGTCCAGTCTGTCACAGAAATATGTCAGTCTCTGGTGCCAACTTTTGTCATAGTTAGGGTTTCTATTGCTGTGAAGACAGCATGATCACAGAAACGCTTATAAAGGAGAAAAAAACTAATTGGGGTGGCTTATATTTTTCAGAGGTTTGGTCAATTATCATCATGGTGTTACATGGTGTCGTGCAGGCAGACACAGTGCTGGAGAGGTAGCTGAATGTCCTACATCTTGGCTTGCAGGCAACAGGAAGTGGTGTGTCTGACTTGGTGTGATTCAAGAATATATAAGCCCTCAAATCCTGCCTTCACAGGAAGTGACAAGTGTCCTCCAACAAGGCCACATCTGTTCTAACAAGGCCACAATTCCTAATAGTACCACTCCCTTTGGGGCCCACATAATTTCAAACCACTACAATGTATTTATGTATTTTTCTAAAATAGAGGAGCTGTGGCACAATTACCATAAAACCAAATTCAGACCAATATCCAATAGTACAAATATCTCTTTGTTTGAAGTGTGGAACTCATGATCTTCTAGGACCAAGACCTTTTCTAACTATGCCATGAACAGAATGCACTTGTTTCAGAGGCTCGATTGTCTCTGACAGTGATCCTGTGGTCCCGGCAATTCCAATATGCTGGAGTTTCCACTGCAACTGGGCTGCACATTCATCAATACTCTCTTGCCTCAGGGAACCTCTGACCCCGCCACACAATGCCAAGCCTCAGCTCCTCCCCATGAACCCTTCCAAACCAGTACCATCTGGGAGACTCATTATTTGACAAGTTCTGCTACAAGATAGAGGTAGAGTGGACCCATTGCTAGAACAGGACTTTAGAGAATGAATCGATCTCTCTCCCTCTCCCAACTGTGGTTCATCTACACCTACAATGGCTACCTGTGTACAAAAGAGCCAAGGATCCAGTAATTGTTTAGTCCCAAGGCTGGATGTCTCAGCTGGTCCTCAGTAAATGCCAGAACACTAAAGAAGACTCTCATGACAGTGAAGCAATGGACTTGGTACAAGGTGAAAGCAAACAGACAACAAGCAACATCTTCCTTTGTCCATGTCCTCATGAAGGCTTCCAGAAGAAGGCGTGAGCCAGATTAGAGGTGGCTCATCCCACCTCAAAGGTCTGGATTATAAGTGGATCTTAGCACTTCCAATTAAGCAAAAATCTCTCACAGGTGTGCCCCTCCATCTTTGTTTTAGTTAATTACAGATGTTGGCAAGTAGACAACCAAGAATAGCTATCACAAGTATCAATATTCTAATACAGGGTTTTGCTATTAGACTAAATACTTCCCCAACTTTTTTTAATACTGCAACATGATCTTCCAGCACACCCATCAGGAATTCTAAGCTGTACATGGGCATGTACATGTTGTCTTGTTCATAGGTTATGTCTTTAAAGCTTTGTAGTTCTCGATATTTGTGTGACTAGAGTCACACATGCAATTAAGCTGAATCTTAATAAATCTTTATTTGTACATTTGCTTGAGTTTTATTTCATAACTTTCCTGGTATATCTACAATATTAGCATTCTGTAAATAATTTAGCAAAAAAAAAATTTGAAATTCAGCCGGGCACTGGTGGCACATGCCTTTAATCCCAGCACTCAGGAGGCAGAGGCAGGTGGATCTCTGAGTTCGAGACCAGCCTGGTCTACACAGCGAGTTCCAGGACAGGCTCCAAAGCAATACAGAGAAACCCTTTCTCCAGAAAAAAAAAAGAAAGAAAGAAAGAAATTCACTTTTTGGGACTTAAAGAGTGGAATTTCTAAGGTACGGCAGGACATGAGAAAGGACGATGCCATTCAGTACTTGCCCACAGTGTACTGAGAGTCACTGGTCTTTGAATCATGGGTTCTAAGCATGATTCAGAGACATGCATGGACAGAGCCCAGTTTGGATGTCTGTCACTGACAGTTTTGCAACCGTATTTTCGTGTGTATTCCTGTAGACCTCTCACTCTCTTCTCCATGAATGCAAGAAAGAGAGCAGCCTCCTCTCTGAGGCTCCCTAAGTCTATTTTCTGTGTTAAGCCCTTTTAACAGGACCAGGTACTATGGCAGTAAGCTTGGAGCAGTGAACACAATCTTCCCTGGTTTAGATTGTCAAATGCCTTCTCTTTAATATTATTTTTATGGTGTACAAGACAGAAGGAAAAATTAAAAGGTTCAGCACATGTTGTATGAGAGACTTTTCCTGGGGAGACATAACTTACATATGCATCTACTCACCCAAAATAGGAACTCACAACAGAAACAATATGGATGCCACTGAAGTCTATCTTGTTGAACCACTGAGCTTTATTGGGAATACTCACAGAAATATTGGGAAAGAGATGCTTGCAGGAACAAAAGGGACTCAAAGCCAGATGCCATCAGGGAACGCAAACCCAGCACGGAATACAGTTTATGAACAATAGACACCTGGAGCACACTGTACACCTGCAGCATGTCTACAGGTTGAAAGGCATCCTATTTTGGTGGTTCAGTTTGTCAAAGCCTTTTCTAAATAGCACGCGTGGCCCGAGTTTCTTCATGGGAGTCAAGCAAAGTGCATCCTGTCAGTTTCAGGGACTTCCTGAGATATTTGGGAGTTTTTATTTCCTGCCTTAATCAGCTTTCCTTCAGGATGGAACATTTCAGTCTCCAGGAAATGGGTACACAACAGTATATTTTTCAGGTTTTTCCACTTTGACTCCATTATGAAGTATTTGAGGTCGAAAAGGTAGACCATCTTAATGAAAATTTTCCCACATCGTCACATTTGAATAATTTTCCCTCAATATAAACTCCTGATGTTTTCTACCATTTGAACATTACTTACAGGATTTCGGAAGTTTCTCATGTTTACGATTCTCTAGTGGGGAGCCTGCAACGGTCCCTAAGAACAGAACTTAGATAAAGCACGTGCCACATTATTTATCAATGGAAACCTTCCTTCCCTACTATGAACTCTCTGATGTTTTCTTAGACCTGACAGGTGGGTAAAGACTTTGACACACTCCCTGCATTTGTAAGGTTCCTCTCCCGAATGAATTCTCTGATGGATTCTAAGTTGGACTTTCTGAATGAAACATTTGTCACACTCGCTGCATTTGTAAGGTTTCTCCCCAGTGTGAATCTTCTGATGTCTTCTAAGATCTGAGCCACTGGCAAAGGATTTCTCACACTCACTGCATTTGTAAGGCTTCTCTCCTGTATGTATTCGCTGGTGTTTTCTAAGACCTGAGCAACACGTGAAGGATTTCTCACACTGACTGCATCTGTAAGGCTTTTCCCCCGTATGGATTCTCTGATGGATTGTAAGCTGGGCTTTCTGGATGAAGCACTTGTCACACTCGCTGCATCTGTAAGGTTTTTCTCCCGTATGGATTCTCTGATGGGTTCTTAGGTATGTCAGTCGGCTGAAGCATTTGCCACATCCGTCACATTTGTAATGTTTCTCCCCCGTATGGATTGTCTGGTGGCTTCTGAGGTGTGTCAGCTGACTAAAGCCTTTGTGGCATTCGCTGCATTTGTACGCTCTCTCTGCTGTGTGGGTCTTGTAATGGTACTTAACCTGATACAGGTGATAAAAGCACTTGCCACAGGCGTTGCATTTGTAGGGTTTCTCTCCAGAATGGTTTTTCTGGTGTATACGGAGGCTCGAGGGGATCCTTTGATTTTGACTGATAGGAAACAAATTTGAACCGTTCACACAGTCTTTACATGTGTGAGGTTCTTCTCCAGAGTCCCCACTTTTATGTCTTTCTATGACTGATGACTTGACAGAAGCATCCTCATGGCCACCACATCTGAAGGTACTGTAGTTTTCCGCAGTATCGCTCGTGTCATACGGTGTATATTGGGAGGACTCACGAATCATTTTGCCCATACATTTACAAGAAATCTCTTGGATATTCACATGACGGTGATGGACAATATGCTTTAAGCCTTGATCCTGGAATTTTTCATGATTCCCACATGGACGATGGTTCTCTGGAAAGTTAGCACGATCATGGATAACAGGAATTAATGCATAAATAACAGGTTCAATAGCTTTTCTGCACATTCTCTAAGACACGTAAGCTAGCAATTCTTAGGAAGAGCTCTCAGCAGAGGCCCTGTGCTTTACAGTCATTAAGTGTAAGCTCAGGAGAGCCCCCATTCTGATCTCTGTCAAAACGAAGGAGCAATAGTGACCTTCTCACTCTTTCCCATCTGTTTACCTTTCAGAAGGCTGGACAAACGCATGGCCGAGCAACAATTCATTGTGAGACGGGAGCTCTCTGAAGCATCATGGGAAAAACGTTTCTCTATTTTCTTGTTGCTTATGTTTTTGAAACAGAGTCCACTATGTAGCCTTCACTGGCTAGGAACTCCCTATATAAACCAGTCTCGCCTGGAACTCGCCAGGTCCTCTTGCTCCAGCAATTCCTAATGCTAGGATGAAAAATCATGCTGTACCAGGACTATAGAGATCACATGTCAAAAAATAAATAAATAAGAACAATAACATGCTTACCAGCAATGGCTCTTTAGTTTAAAAAATCTCCATTTTTTAAAAATCAGAAATAGGTCGTTTAAATTTAGTAGTAAAATCAAAATAGTTCAATTAATAAGTGTACCGCAATGTATTTTCTTGCTCTAAATATTCACTTTTTTTTTAACTTTAAAATTTTGCTTAAAACTACAAAAACCTGGGTGTTGTGGCACACACCTTTAATCTCAGAACTTGGGAGGCAGAGGCAGGTGGATCTCTATGAGTTCGAGGCCAGCCTGGCCTATAGAGTGCATGCCAGGACAGGCTCCAAAGCCACAGAGAAACCCTGTCTAAAAAACAAAACAAAAACAAACAAAAAGAAAAAGAAAGTTATGTTCACTATCAGAATTTCCCCTATTTCTGGATGTCCCTAAGCAATTCAGGGAGTCTGCATATACACAATGTGGGTAAATACAAAGAAAGGATGAGGATAACTACATGAAGAGCATTCTTACCTACAAAGACTAGATTGCTGTAATTCTCCAACATCACATCCATGTACAAAGTCCTCTGAGCAGCGTCCAGACATTCCCACTCCTCCTGGGACAGGACCACAGTCACATCCCTGAATGTCAATGGATCCTGTAAAAGAAAATTACCTATTTACCATGTGCTGCTGGAAAACAAAAAGTTTTCCTAGGCCAAAGGGACCCAAACAATTAGAGACACTTGTGATATAGATGGTGTATGACAAATATCTAAAAACAAAGGTTTTCTAGAGGCACTAGAGAGACGCTTCAGAAGTAAAGAGCACGGGCCGCTCTCCCAGAGGTCTCCATACTTGGTTCCCAGCACCCACATGGAGCTACACAACAGATTCCAACTGTGGTTCCATCAGATCCAACGCTCTCTTCTGAATCTCCAGGCCCAGCGTTCACACATACATTAGAGCAAGTACACTCAAACACATAAAATAAAAGTGGAAGTTAATATTAATAGAGGACACTTTCTAAAACAGTCATGCTCTCTGTTGTATTTTCTGTCTTGGTGAAAGCAGGATGCCACTATCCTGTCTCAATCAGCAAACTTGGGAATACAAGGTACACATGAGAGGTCTAGATGCAGGTGTGCAACTCTACAAAGGCTTTGAGGAAATCAAACAGGATCACAGTGTCTCCTCTCTGATGGCCAAAGTATGATGAGCAAAACTGTGCTTCCCTATCTACCCTGTTCAAATACAGACACTGGATCACTACTGTATATAACTGGGCCTCCCACGGCTCTAATCTAAACACTCAGGCCAGAGCTGAGGCTTAGGTATAACACTGGACCGTTTCTAGAACAAAAAAATCCATATAGATGCAGAATATATGTAGTTTTAAAAACAAAAAAAAAGTATAGCATCAGTGCATACATGTAACATTCCATACAACACATAGAATCAGATACATTGTGATGTTATGTCAAGAGAAAATTTTGACAACCAAGAAATAGAAAAACAGCATTAGACGATGTTAATATTATCTAAAATTTTCTAAAACGCCACACAACCAACACAGATGAATACCAATTTCAGAAATTCCATATGGCGGTCTCACTACATAAATATTAAATCATACTAAGCCTTCATTAATTCTGTATATACCATTGCTCATGAAATTGGCTCAACTGAAAATTTGAATCTTTATACCTTTAATCCCACACGAGGCAGAGGCAAGTAGATCTCTTTGAATTTGAGGCCAACCTCGAAAGTTCCAGGGTGGGCAAGGCTACACAGAGAAACCTTGTCTCCAAAAAAAAGCAAAGAAACAGAAAAGAAAATGTGTAAGTTCAGCTTTATTCCTTTCTTCAGTGTTTGAGCTCAATCATGTAACATTATTATTATTATTCCTTCATTTTTCAAAAAATGGAAAATGCCAGGTTATGGGTTGGAGTAATGGTCAGTGGTTAAGAGCACTGGGTGTCCTTCCAGATGACCCTGGTTCAATTCCTAGCACCTACCTGGCAGCTCACAATTGCCTGTAACTCCAGTTCCAGGGCATCTGGGACCCTCACAAACACGTACATGCAGACAAAACACCAATGCACATAATGAGAATAAATAAAACATTAAAAAAAAGAAAATGCATATATATATGCACATATATATACACACACACACACACACACACACACACACACACACACACACACACATACTGTCTCTGTTACAAAGCAGAAATGTAACCCACAAACCTGGGGACTGGAAAGATGGCTCAGACAAAAAGGTTACTTGCTGTCCCTGAGGAGAAACCCAGTTTAATTCTCTCTACATACATGGTCGCTCACTACAGTTACTGATTCTAGTGTCAAGAGTTTAATGCCTACCTCAGAGCTATGGCCATGGGGCATCACACAGGCATATAGTACATACAAAACGCATGATGAATACTGCTATACTTAAATTAAAAAAGAAATCGTTTTTAAAAAAATGAAACTCTGGCCAGGCGGTGGTGGCGCACGCCTTTAATCCCAGCACTCGGGAGGCAGAGGCAGGCGGATCTCTGTGAGTTCGAGGCCAGGCTGGACCGATAGCCTCCAAAACAATACAGAGAAACCCTGTCTCGTAAAAACCAAAAAACCAAAAAAAAAAAAAAAAAAAAAAAAAGAAATGAAAATCTGTCCATCACCACCTTTCTTCTGAATCTCTACCTACATAATACATATTTTCAGGGAATGGGGGGAAAAAAAGAGCCAAGCGTTGCTGGTGCCTGTCTTAGATCCCAGTACTCAGGAGGCAGAGGCAGGTGGATGTTCAAGACCAGCCTGGTCTACAAAAGCAAGTTCCAGGACAGCTTCCAAAGTCACAGAGAAACCCTGTCTCAAAAAAAAAAAAAAAGAAGAGAGAAAAGTCATTAAGAGCTTAAGAGTGACATTTGTTTATGCTTGAAAATCGATGGCTTATGCACAGCACAAAGTCAATACTCTCTAGAAAATTCTTACTAATATACTCCACATGGTGCAATATAGAGGCAGGGCTAGGACTGCTTATACAACAAAACACCAAGAGAAAATACTCCTCTGACTATTGAGAACTTACCACCGAACATTGGAATCAAGACCATGATATGAGCAGAATCTCTCCTGAGACAAAATGGATTTCGGGTGTGAACACACCCATGGGTACATCATCTCTGAGTGAAATCGAAGAGCAAAGAGAGAACCCACAGGTCTGCAATCTGCCAGTCTCACAGAAACATCAGTTTTACGGTAACAGCTACCCACATATCCCTTCCATCACCTGCACTCTGTAGGGTCCGTAAATGTTCAGTATTAGGATTCAAGACAGGAAGTCTCATCTCATTTTACTTTTCCCTAAGTTGCTTGGTGATGTCAGCCAAAAGCTGTGGGTATTCCCATAGCCACTTACCATCTCGTAAATGTAACCTACATGTGGCCTTCCTTCTTCACTAATATATAAGGCACAGGTCCATCTTCTGCAGGAACTGGGCATCTGTATATTTCTTTGGTCATCATTTGCAATGGAATCTTTCAGAATTGCATTTTTTTATTTCTTTTTTCTTTAATTATTTTTTTATTTAGGTTAGAAACAATCTTGTTTCATCTCAATCCCAGCTCCCTCTCCCTCCCCTCCTTCCCCGCCCTCCCCACCAGGTCCCCCAGTCCCCCACCCAATCTCCACTCTGATCACCAAGGAGGGTGAGGCACTCCATGGTGGATCTCCAGTGACTGTCATTTCATTCAGGGCAGGGCCTAGGCCCTCCCCCCAAGAGTCCCAGCTGAGAGAGCCTCCCATATTGTGGCATGGGCACCCAAAGTCTATTTGTACGCCAGGGATAAATGCTACCCAAGGCCCCATAGATTACCTAGGCCTCCTCACTGACACCCACATTCAGGGGGTCTGGGTCAGTCCCATGCTTTCCACACAGCCATCAATCTGGAGTCCAAGAGCTCCCCCCTTGTTCAGGTCAACTGTTTCTGTGGGTTAAACCAGCCCAGTCTTAACTCAATTGCTCATCATTTCTCCCTTTCTGTCACTGATTCCAGGAGTTCAGTTCAATGTTTGTCTGTGGGTATCTGCCTCTGCTTTCATCAGTCACTGGATGAACAGAATTGCAGTCTTAAGTCTATGAAAAACATGTTCCCACAGTAATAACTGAGGGAAGTTACAATGGGATAAGGCTTGCTATATAAACGGCAAAATTTAAAGACTTAATCTTGATCATCAGAGAAGAAAAAGAAAAAAAATACATAGAAACAAACAGGTTAGATGACACTAAAAGAATTAAAAGAATTAAAAGAATGAATGGTTTCACCAGAAAAATGATTTCCAAACAAATCTAGACACATCACCGACCTGGGGCACATTTACCGGATAATCATCCATTCTCTGTGTTGCTCTTCTCTGAGTTTCTGTCTCAGGAACAAAGACTGGAATGCTTCTTGACATTTCACATCGAGGAATCAAAAATATAAGTATAGAATCCAACTCTGTTACAGACAATGTCAAAGGTCTTGTCAACGTTCCTATAGAGAGGACAGTACAGGAGGATCTCTTTAGAGTGCTGAAAGAAAATGACCGAGAACCATATCACTGCACTCAGAAACACTGGCTCTTCAAATTCATAGAGAAGTGCCCTTGAAGAAAGTTGGGAGATAACACGTCATCCATTCAGGCAGCACTGCAGATCACAAATAGAGGCAAATTATACTTAGAAAAATCAGACAGAAATTATCCACGAGGACACAGGAAATAAAACAGTTTCACATAAAAAAGAAAAGAATAGAGGAGAGCTGAGGATAACAGACCACATTCAATACACAAAACCTGCAAGTCACTATTTCTTACTAGAAGGGAGAAAAATACTAGTAGTAACTTTACCAACCACAATATTTAAAAAAAAAAAGTGCTGTGATAAGAAAATCTCAGCAGAAATGGAGACATCAAAAGACACAATTCAACAAGATTTTGTGATCAACTCCTAAAGGTATTAGGTAAAAACATGCTGCCCGGCTCAACACGTAAAGAGCATGTATGTTATGCTTAGGTCAACAGTACACTGTAAAGAAAACTGTAAGGAGAGAAAGAATCATGTGCTCTCCAGCCGTACTCAATCCACGGCCAGAAGAGGGAACCAGAGAAATCTGAGTAACACAAGGAGAAAAGGAGAAACAAGTGGGAGATAAGGGCACCAGACTCCTTTTTTAATGAGTATGCGATCATACAAAAAAGTCTTTACGCCCTACTTCAGGGGGTATGCTGATAAGTGCTTTAACTATTACCTAAACCTACAAAACTAACACACAAAACGACTAGTTTTCCTATATGTCCGTAATGACACATTGAGAAGTAAACTAGAAATTTAACCCATTTAGGTTGCATCAAAAAGATCTATGAGTAATCCTAAGTAATGATGACTTTGCTTTTATGAAGAAATCCCTAAGACTCTCAGGAAAAAAAAAAGAAAAACAAGAATGCACAAAGAAAGATACCTACAGACACTCTGGCTAACAGAAGACACGCTGAAAATATTACTAACAGCAACCAGTGACATCCATGCAATGTCCATCAACCACATACTGATATTTTTCACAAGCACAGATATGAAAACAGTCAAATGGACACAGAAAAGTCACACGCATATCAAAATTAATCTTAAGAAAGTGTATCCCTGAGGGTATTACAGGATCTGGCCACATATCATAACTCAGAGGCACAAGGCAAAGACATGATCCTGCATGTGAAGAAACCTGTAGAAAACTGAATAGAACAGGGAACACAGAAATGAACATATACCAGAGAGGTAATGTAAGCTAAATATGTCAACAAACCTACGAAAAGAGAGAGCCCTCTGAACTCTCTGTGCTGGGAAAACGGTTGACTATCCATGTGCTGACGAATGACGTTAGATCCAAATCTCTCACCCTGCACACAAATCAATTCAAACTAGATCAAGGACCTTCTGGGAGAAACCGAAATGCTAACAGCACTACTGGAAAACCTGATTAAATGCTTAATAATTCAGAAATAAGCAAACACTGTCTGAAAGAGATTCCAGGAGCACAGTGGGGATAAAAAGGAAAATGACAAAGAGATTTTACGGAGTACAAGCTGTAAAGTTCACAAACACTCAATGAACGATTGCTAAGAGAGAACGGATGGTAGCTGAGAAAGTAAAATTCAAATAAATGCCTAGCACATTTAATTTTATACATATATGTGCATGTACCTACATATACATATAGGTAGATAGAGAGACATATTTACACACACACATATATGTCTATGTTCATCCATGTGTCATAAGGGTCGTTCTGAATGTCTGAACACTATTATTAAACAATGTTTTCACAGCTATGGCACACACATACACACATATACACATGTATCACATTGGTATTTATAAGCATCTCAAATAGTTTTTTATAGGCAATGGACATTTGGATGGTTTCTTACCCAGCAAATGCTCAAATATTATAGAGTGACAATGAGAGAGGAGATGAAACTTGGAAATAACTTCATTCCATCTGATCATACCCGGTCATGGTATGGTTCATCCCTCATGATTCGGAAACTGCTCTACTCTTTTCCATCATATTGACGTAACAGACAGCAGCCAAGTTTCTTCAATGATCAATTTTTAAAGATTTATTTGTTCACTATGTATACAGTGTTCTGCCTACATGCATGCCTGCACACCAGAAGAGGGCACCAGACCTCATTACAGATGGTTGTGAGCCACCATGTGGTTGCTGGGAATTGAACTCAGGACTTCTGGAAGCCCAACCAGTGCTCTTAACCTCTGAGCTATCTCTCTAGCCCCTAAATAACCCATTTTAAACAACAGTTGAGAAACTGTTCAAAGAATCTAGGTAAATAAAATACCAATTCTCTCAGAAACAACCATGGATATTTATCAAGTACACTAAGAATTCAAATGATACTCCCTGAGATAAGCAATCTGACAACTAAATCAGGGTATTAATACTATCATCAACAAAATTAAGACAATAAAAAGAAAGCCAGCTTTGTAGCTCTGCCAGCTACAATATGAAGCAATAGGTAAGAAATACTTTGATGAAGAAAACAGACATAATTCAACAGCTTCACTAATCCTCCCCAGCAGACACCAGAGGACACTGGAGAGGTGTATTCTATTCATCAGGGTTCTCTAGAGTAGCACAACTCATAGAATGAATCTCTCGACATACAGACATAGGATTTATTACAAGATTTATAGGCTGCAATCCAGCTAATCGAGCAATGGCCAACTGTGAGCAAGAAACTTAGAATCGATGAGGCTGGATGTCTCGACTGGTCTTCAGTATATGCTGGAATCCCAAGGGTGTAAGGCCCTCATGCCAGCGAAGGAATGGATGAGCTAGCAAGGCGAGGGCAAGCAGACCGGGAGCAAAAGCTTCTTTCTTCCATGTCTTTATACACCTTGTCCCCAGTGACATTTAAGGTAGAGCTTTAGACTAGCTAGAGGGGATGGAGTGAGGCTTGGTGGTTAGGAGCACTGGCTATTCCTCCAGAGGACTGGAGTTCTAGACCAGCAACCAAACTGCAGCTCATAAGATGGTAACTCTAGTTCTGGGGATCCCATGCTCTCTTCTGGCGTCTGTGGGCACACCGCACATGTGTGGTGCATAGACACACATGCAGAACAACCACCCATGGACGGTAGCAATAATAGTAATAACAGGACTAGCCACAGGCATTTGAAAGAGACAAAGAAACAAAGGAAAGGACAGCATTAACTTAACCTTGTCAACAACAGTGATTACATATATAACCTACCTGAAGACAGCACCAAAAACTTTTATACTTGGCAAATGCCTTTGTAATATTAAAATATATAGAATTACCATGCACAAATCACCAGTTTAGAATATGCCAATTATGAGCACGTTGAGAAATAAATTAGGATAGCATCCCACTCTCAGTAGCTTCAAAGATCTCCAGATCTCCCTAAAAATACCATTTAGTGTATTAATAATTCTCAGTCGTGACGGAATTAAAAAGAACAAAACTGTTATTCCATCTCACCCTAGCCAGAATGGCTAACATGAAGGAAACAAATTGGGGGCTGGAGAGCTGTGGAAGTAATTAAAAGCACTTACTGCTTTTCCAGACTACCGGGGTTAAAATCCTAGGATCAACATGCAGGGGACCCAATGTCCTCTTGTGACCTCCAGAGGCACCAGGCAGACAGACATGCATGCTGCAAAAACAAGTGTATGCATGAAATAAAATAAAAATATCAAAAACAATGGGGAAAAAAGGAGGTGTGTAGGGGGACCACGGAGGCAACTGTAACTCTGTGATTTGCTGTCAGCCTTGTATACATACCAGTTTTCACAACAATGACAGCTATATAGTGAGTTTCCCTCCCCTACCCCCCCAAAAAATATAAACCTCAAATATAACCAAATGCCCAGGAATGCATTTGAGGAAATGGCAAAGTTTATTCCAACTCCTGTTGGGAATGCACACCACTGCGAACAGTAGACATCCCTTTGAGGGTGGCAGAAACCACCAATATTGCCCTCCAATGCTGAGGCATACAAAACTATTTCAACATGTATAGATCATGTATAGATCTATCAATTTAAGACAGTAAATATCTAGACTGTAACAGAAGGAACATGACCATGTCAATATATCCATCAAACACCTGGGAGAAATTATCACATTTGCCATTATCAAAGGTTTGAAGAATTTAGGAATAGGAGAAACATGTCTCAGCACTACAAACACTAGAAGCCTCATGTAAACCCAATATTTTATTAAATAAGGAAAACTGGAAGGATTACAATTGCCTCAGGACAGGGACACAGGCGTCCACCTCTGTCCACACTAACTCAGCCCAGTGCATTAGTTGTTACCCAGAACAAGAAGGAAAGAGAAAATATTCCAAATTGTAAGAAATACAATTCTCAGCCGGGCGTTGGTGGGGCACGCCTTTAACCCCAGCACTCGGGAGGCAGAGGCAGGCGGATCTCTGTGAGTTCCGAGATCAGCGTGGTCTACAAGAGCTAGTTCCAGGACAGCTTCCAAAGCCACAAAGAAACCCTGTCTCAAAAAACAAAAACAAAACAAAATACCCAGTGAGAAAGCTCAATTCTGACAATCTTTGAAACAAGTCATAAAACCCATCCTGTGTATCAGTTGGTGTTCTACATATCAACAAGGTGAGAACGAGAAAATAGCAGACCACTAAGACCAGCATAGTGTATAAGACATCTCTTAGATGTTCTGATGGCAGCATTCAAAGTGCCAAATGTACTGTGTAAGCCAGTGGGCAAGGAAAGTCATCAATGACCTTCCCTATATATGGGTGACCTGTGCCACACCTGTGCCACACCCTGCTAGAGACTGTATGCTAATCCACTGATGTAGCACCCTGTGGTATCCCACTGTGTCTAGGCTGTAACCAATATTTCTCCTTGAACCTCAGAACTATAAATGACTTCTGGCATATTTTGCTCCTCAGGAAAAGTTTCCTCATATGAGATTATTCAGCAGACTATTAAAACTAACTTAAGACAGCCAGACTCTGGATTGGTGGGATGAGGGAAAGGTTTGGAGGCACTCTGGGTGACAGAAAGATATAAAACTCTATGTTTAACTGAACTTGGGATTCAATTTTTTAGACATACACCAGCTGATCCTGTGTGAGTCAGCACTGCACAGTAGAGCTGTCTCCTGTATCCCAGTTTGATGGCTTTTTCCCCCCTTTGGTTTCCTAAAGCAGTGTCATAACCTGAAGACAGTTTTCTGTATAACGAAATGCTTTCTGTTTAAATTGTGGGCCAGGTCCAGAGAAGGAAATTAATACAAGGCACTGGAAACGTGGCCAAGAGCCTATGACTGGCAAAGTGACAGGACATGGAAGACAATACATCCATGACATTTTGCTACATGTACAAATACTCAAACTGGTTCTGGTCACACCATAGCCTGCTGCAGCCAGCCTTCAGCCTGGGTCAGACAGCCTTTGTTTGCAATGGACAACAGTTATTTCAGGGACTCCAAACTGGTCACATGCAGAGAATGACAGCTGACTACACAGCCATGAAGACCTGGTAGGAATCCCAGGGAATACAACAGAAGATGGGACTAGGGTGATTAGCTATGATACACACAATACATGAAATAGTATCCACAGCAGAGAAGAAGACTAAATGTTCAGGGAAACACAAACAGCCTGAGAGTAGAGAACAAGACAGGTATGGAGAGCAGAGCTTGAGTCACACGAGTCACACACACACACACACACACACACACACACACACACACACACACACAACCTGTCATTACAGTTGACACTGCAGAGTCACATGACCATCAGAACATGGGTGTGTCTGGAGAGCAGACACACAGCCCCATGCAACAGAGCAAAAGATCCAGAAAGAGAGAAACAGCAATGGCCATGGGAATGTCACCAAAATAAGATTCAAGTTTCACAATAAGCAACTTCACCAACCAATGGTGGTGTGAAAGTATCTATTCAGACAGAAAAGATGAAGCTGGATCTGATTCTCTCTCACTATTCAATGAGTCACAGACCTTCATGTATGAGCTGGAACAGTGGAACTGAGAAAAAGGATGCATGCAATGAAAAACATGCATGGAAATCCTGAAAATTAATAGGAAACAGCCTATTGTGCAGTTAGATATAATAGCTATCTATTTGTAGTATGACAGGTTAATACCCCGAATATCTCATAAAATAAAGAAAAAAGACACAAGCAAATAAAAATCATTTCAATTAAGAAGCAAATAACTTTAAGAGATCATGCCAAAAGGCAATTACAATGGCCAATTAAAAATGCTTCACACTGACAGGTTAAGAGCACTGGCTGCTCTTCCAGAGGTCCTGAGGTCCCAGCAACCACATGGTGGCTCACAACCACCTATAATGAGATCTGGTGCCCTCTTCTGGAAAGCAGGCATACATACAGATAGAGCATTGTACACATAATTAATAAGTAAATCTTATAAAAGAAACTCTAAAAACAAAAAACAAAACAAAAATACACTGGTAGTCATGAAAGAAATGCTCACCTAATGTGTACCGAGATCCCCTGTCTGCCTAGTCCATGACCACATTCAATGGTAGCAATCCGACAGGAAACACAACAGAACGAACTCGGAGACACAGTGTCAGTGAGAATCCAAGTTACTGCAACTGCCATGCAGGTCAGTGAACAGAAGCAAACTACTCAAATGAGATTCAACTATATTACACGTGTGGTTTCCTATGAGATGATTAATCATAGTCCGTTCTCGCAAAAATGAATTACTCACTGGCCAACATGCATGTCAACAAAGACAGCATGGAAAACAGAAGGATACATATACATGATGCGTGAATACTAACACACGGCTTCCATGTTCTCATTCAACACGAGGACACAAATTAGCAAGGAGTTTTCTCTTATGCAAAGATTCTAATCAATTCATTTCAACAGGAATGGGATAGCTCTGCAAAATAAATAAAATACTGGGAACTGAATGTGAAATTTTGAGAAAGCACAGAGATCAAAAAGCTTCAGAAGATCAAACCGAGATTTCGAAATCTATTACAATTATAGCAATAAAAACAACATGAGTATTGGCGTGAAGAAAGACACAGACAATATCAATGGGAAGACAATTAAGACATGTTTAAAACCCTGCAGAGATACTAAGCAGTCCTTAACAGAATCCTGATGGCATCATTCTAGAAAATGGGAAATGTGACCATTAAAGAATAGAATCTAAAGAAACTACCAAAAATGTCAAAGGGGGAGGACCAGGAAACAAACAAAGGCACTATTTCCCTAGTTTTACAAGATGAGAACCTCTAGTAGGGAAAAATCATTTAATATTGAAACAAAGAGAGAAAAGAGAGATTAACTGAATGGCGACCTCATCCTTGACATGCAGTCATATAAATTATGTTTTCTCCTAGTGCTAATTCTTACATATAAAGCCAGTGACATGTAAAACAGGATAATCTTGAGATTATTTATAGTAGAATATTCCAAAGCAACATTTTTAGAGAAATAATGTGGCAAAACCAACCACACGTCTCATTCGTACTTTTTTTTTTTAATTTTTTCCTTTAAGATTTTTATTTAAGCTGACTGGGACCGATGTTCTGTGGCATGTATGCACGTGCTGTGTGTTTATAGCTGGTCCCCACTGACATCAGAAAGGGCATCAGACCTCTAGCACCGTAGTTACTGAAGGTAGTCAGCCACCATGAGGGTACTGAAAATGAACCCATGTCCTGTCAGAGCTGTCAGGGCTAGTAATGGCTGAGCCATCTAAACACCCTGCCCCATTCCGTTTTCAACATGGCTTGAACGGCTAACTCAGTCCCTCCAAAGAACCTATGATGGGGAAGTCCTGTGTATATGTCAATAAAGCACTATTGGCCAATAGGGAACCAAGATAGGTGGGACTAGGAGTTAAGGAGGATTCTGGAAAAGACAGGCAGAGGAGTATCATGCAGCCACCATAGAAGTAAGAGGTCCAGACCCTTTCTCCGGTAAGAGAAATACTTAGATTAACAATTATGAGGTAAATACATAAGTCAGAGCTAGCCAGTAAGAAACAAGCAAGGCCAACAGCTTCATAATTAATATGGCCTCCTGTGTGTTTATTTGGGACTGATGCGGCTCTCGAACCAGGCTGGCGGGAAGACGTTACCCAACATACCTAGTATATGTGTTACTGTCTCCTTTCTCTCCACTTCCTAGGTGTCTCTGTTCTGCTTCAAACGTGAACCTGTCTGGCTTCTGAGTGAGACCTTCAGGATAAAAGGATTCTTCAGAAAGCACCCTGATTTCTAACACAATACTATGTCCTGTGTTCAGTAGATAATGAGAAAATAAAAGAGAGGGTGATGGTATTATATATATACCACTGTGTTTCTGAACTTATCATGGAACAAAAAACCTTAAACCAGCCAAAAGGACACTCCCTCACAGAAAACGCACACACTTGCAGAGTAGTTTTCCCAGGAACCATGAGGAGGAGCAAGGGAGACTGCAAGCAAACTATTCTCACCCATAGGAAGCAGACTGCTGCAATTGGGCAGCATCCATTCTCAGTACCAGGCCCTGTGAGCAGGCTGCAGGCATTGCTTTTCCTCCTGGAAGAAGTCCACAGTCACTGTCAACAAATCCTGAAATTAAAAATAAAAGCAGTGAGTGTTTGAGCCATGTGTCTTTTACACTGCTTTAATCCCAGCATTCAGAAGGTAGAAGCAGGCAGATCCCATATGAGACCAGACTGGTGTACTTGGTGAGTCCTTAGCCAGACAGGGCAGGATTGAGATACTGATTCAACAAAACAAAGCCAAAGTCAACCAAGAACACCTTTGCCAACTGGACCTGGTGTCCATGGGAAGACTGCTTTTCTTGGAACAAAAAGAATTTTTTTTCTCATACAGTTGAGTGATCAAAATTATTCAAAAGATGCTTTCTTACTTTGTCCTAATCTATATAGCATTTTATAACTTTAAAAAACAGTGTTGCCATTGGGAAGGGCCTAGGTCCTGCCCTGGATGAAATGACAGACTTTGGAGATTCCCCCCAAGGAGGGCCTCACCCTCCCTGGGGAATGATGTGGGGATTGGGTGGGGGACTGGAGGGCTGGTGGAAGGACAAAGGAGGAGGGGTGGGAGAGGAAGCTGGGATTGACATATGAAGCATGCATGTTTCTAATTTAAATTAAAAAAAACTTAAAAAACAATGTTGCCTGATATCCTCTCAAAGAGTGCATACACACTGTGCGGTGCGTTATTGAGAATTAAACATAGAAACACATTTCCGAATGCTGTATTTACATCTTAGCCTGCATACATCTCAGGTGGAAAACAAATGGGGATTGAAAAGTTTGTTTAGTAAATGTTAACGTTTACAGTCATAACTCTGAAGCTTGCTAAAATGTACCTTCTGATTCCATAAAATCTGCAGTGGCTCCTAATGTGATTGATTAATGTATAAAAAAGCTCTCTAGCGATGCGTGGTCCCAAGGGGCAAAGGCCACTCTCTGTTGATTACAAAAGTAGTAAAACGGGGGAGTTTGAAAAGCAGGGTTGAATTTACATGCTAGGCGATTAGCAAGTGCCACAATGGCAAAAGAGAACCATGTTTGCAAACAAAAGATAAAGCAAGTCCTCTATCAGATTATTGTTCTGCGAATAGTCTGATAACCATGAGTGGGAGGGGGGATCAATATAAGGCCCAGTTCACTTAATGTGAAATTTACGACAAGGGAAGACACCCACATCAGAATTTGGGACCCGGCATCCAGATGAAGAGCAGAGAAACCGCTCGCACCCCGGTCCCCTCCCTCCCGGGTCCCAGCCCCGCGGCTCCTCTGACCTGGGAGGTTCCAGGGCCGCCGGGCTGCGGTTCCCGCCTCTGCGCTGCTGCTGACGCTGACTTTCCCAGGCCGCCCGCCCCGCCCCCGTGGCACCTGTGGCTATGTGGGGTGCCCACACCCCACTGGGACCCCCGCCTCGGTCCTCTGCACCCCCAGGTTTTTGGAACGCAGAGGGTCCCCGGGTCCCAGAGGGGATCGCGGGTGTGTGAGTCCCTACTTCCTTCCGTTCCTCGGGGCCTCCTCCCGCCCCGCCCATCACATACCTGTCCGGGTCACGTGCCCCCACTCCTCCCGCCCACCTCCCCTGCCCTGTCCCGATGATCCCCAGCCCCCTCGCCGTTTCGGCGTCTTAAAAACAACGGCAAACGTCCGCGGCCCACTCGCTAGGGACGCTGGAGCTGGCGACATTCCCGGTTCGGCCGTGCAACCCTGGGTTCCTCCCCGTCACTCTGCACTAGCAATGGCTTGTGGGAGATTCTGCAGCTTCGGGAGGATTGCTGCTCGGCGGACTGGTTAGCTGCCTCTGTTTGCAAGCTTAAGGAAGACCACTAGAATTAGATTTGTCACGGTATGCATTGGAAGCTGTGACTGAGCTCGGGCTCAGCTTTGGACTGAGGTCAACGGGGCAGCCTGCAGCCTGCAGCAAGCAAGGGTGGGACTCTTGAGCTGGGCTACCGAAGGCCAGGCAGAATGTGGTACTTTCTCTCTCTCTCCCTGTGGTGGGTTGTGGCTTAAATGAATTTACCATTTGCCAAGAGCCCCCCACCCCACCCATGTATCTCAGAGGAAGGGGCTGCAGCCTGAAAGACAGAGAGATAGAGACAGAAACAGAGAGAGAGGAAATGAAACCAATGTAATTCCCAACACTCCCCTCATGTGCAAGGATGACCCTTCCGTAAAACCTGTCGTGAAAAAACGTCAAGATAGGATATTCATGAGATTGTTCTAGGCCAAATGAGGACATTCTGTGAAACACAGCAACCTTCATTCGGTGTGGGCTGGCCCTCCAGGTGACATTAAAAGTCCTTGATATACAACAATAACGACAAAAAAAAGGACTTATCTGTTCCAACAACCAGAAATCGTAATGAGGGGATGCAACACAGTCAAACAGAAAAACCACAAAAAATAAACACATATTAAAGAAGAAAAATCTGAGTGTGTAAGAAGAGGGTGTTTATTTATGTATATCAGTGTTTCCCTTCATGTCATATGTGCATTACACTCATGCCTTGTGGCAGAGAAAGTAAGAAGGTATCAGGGCCCTTGGCCATTGGGACCATCTCTCCGGCCCTGGAAATCGCCTGCTCTTACTGGAGTTGCATTATCTCTGAATTATCCAGCACAGGTTCCCTGTTAACAGCCCTCTTTTTTCTCTTACTTGAGACCTGGGTTAATCCAGTGTTTTCTTTTAACATTCCCACGTGGTCAATGTTATTCCCTTACGTGATTGTAACAGGTGACTATTAGTACACTGTCACTGTGTGTTAATTACACCACATCTATTATGGTGACTGCCAGATTTAAGTTACTGGGCCTCTGCATTTGCTTAAGTGCCTCAAATACATGAGGATGTAAATTTATCAGCGTTCTTACAGACAAGAGAGCAGGGGGTGATATAGTTAAGCAGTGAAAGAAAGTGACCGTGATCCATACTGTACCCAGAAACACTGACTGTTAAAATTCATGGAGAAGGAAGTTTGTACGTATTCAGGCACTATACTGGCCTGCTCCTGTCACCTGGCAGAAGACACTCAGGTAGTCCTCTGGTCAGCCCAAGGTTCCATGAGCACTAGTCTGCATGCAGGTACAAAGGACCCCTTTAAAAGAAAGACCTCCGCCCACTTACACTCTCTTTCTGCTCTCTTCCCGGCCTGGCTCTCTCCTGGCTCTCTTTTCCTTCTGCTCTTTCCATTCTCTTTCCCGCTGTTCCCCTGGGGCAGACAAGACATTTCCTGTCCCCCTCTTCTCTTCTGTCCTCTCTCTGTCTCTCTGTCTCTTCACCTCTTTTCTCTCTCCTCCCCCTCCCTCCCCTTCCTAATGAAACGTCTCACTTAAGGTCTGTCGGAGAAACATACGAAGAATGAACAGCAGCTAAGAGTGAAATAAATACTTAGCAGATTTTTTTTCACACAAAGGTTAATATGTACACCACACAAGGAGCTGCTTAACGCAACCACATGCAGTCCAAACTATCTAATACAAAATTGCCATATCCAAAAATGAGACACAGCATTCACAAAACAAACACTCTCTCTCTTTCTCTCTCTCTGTCTCTCTGTCTCTGTCTCTGTCTCTGTCTCTCTCTCTTTCTCTCTCTGTGTGTGTTTCTCTGTCTCTCTCTCTCTCCAAGCGTGTTTTACATGTTTGACACCCTTAGTCATGAAATTATAAATTCAAAACCAACGTTTAGTGCTTCTCTCCCTGGTCAGAATGGCTAATATTAACAAAAGCAGTGGAGGAACCAGGCATCATGATGGGAATACTTTTAGTTCCTCCTCTCCAGATGCAGAGACAGAGCCAAGTGTATCTGTGACTCCATTCTGGCCCTGTGTACATAGTGAATTCCAGGCCAAGAAAAACTACACAGTGATTCCCTGGTTCAAAAAAACAAGAAAAAAAAAATGGTGGTGGTGGCACATGTCTTTAATCTTAGCATTTGAGAGGCAGAGATGGGAGGATCTCTGAGTTCAAGGCCACCCTGAGCTACAGAGCAAATTCTAAGACAGCCAGGGATACACAGAAAAACCCTGTCTCAAAAAAAGCTAAAAAGAGTGAAAAAGAAACAGAAACAGCTAATATGTCCATGAACATATTCAAGTATAGGAAATGGAGTGCATGACTGTGGAATTTTATTTGCCACAAAGAAATGACGATCATGAACATTACATTAAAATCAACAGCAGTGACAAATCATATTAAGGGAATGTCTAATCAGAAAGAAGTATCTTCAATGTTTTCATCTATGTACAAATCCCATGTTTCACTGTGTCAGCATGTTTGTATCTACAGTTTGTGACTCTACATGAAGAATCATGGGGTGGGAACAAGAGTTGTCAGTGGAGTTAGAAATAGAGAAAACCGTGGGTACTGGAGGCCTGGCAGTAGTTGCATCATGAAAGGCAGTGACAACAGTTGCCTCTAAGGAATGAAGTTAGTAGGAGGTGGTACTGGAATTCACAATGCAGCCTCCAGACAAGAAAGTGGCACTGTTGGGAGACGTCATTCTGTAAATATGTGTCTGATTGGTTTGAATAAAGCACTGTTGGCCAATAGCAAAGCAAGATATGTGGGACTAGGAGTCTAGGAGGATTCTGGGAAACGTAGTGAGGAGATTGGTCGCAATGTGATACCTGGAGGAGAGAACACAAGTCTGGCATTCTCAGAAAGATAAGTCCGTGTGTGTGTGTGTGTGTGTGTGTGTGTGTGTGTGTGTGTGTGTGTGTGTGTGTGTGTCATTATGGGTCAATGATTAAGTCAGAACTAGCCAATTAGAAACCAAGCAAACGGCCAACAGCTTAATAATTAATATACCGTCGTGTGTGTGTGTGTGTGTGTGTGTGTGTGTGTGCATGTGTGTGTGTTATTTGGGGGTTCAGACAGCTCGGCATGGCCTGGGTGGTGGGCAGGAAGACTACACGTTACACATCACGAATGAACAACTCAGCAATGCGTTCCTCATATGGCACCTGCAAGGTGAGAGTGCAGTTTCTGAAGACAGTCATCACAGGCTCACACCTCAGGGAAAGGACTGCCTTCATCATACTGAGACAAGGCAGGGGAAGATTGTGTGTT